GCATTCCTTTTACCCGTTGGAAAAAAAAAAAAACTAAATCAAAACATGCCCAGTTCTTTTTATCTTTATTTTACTTTAAATAACTAATTTAAAGCCCACTATCGGTTGAAAAGTCTAGTTTACAGACTTTTGATCACAGAGTGTGTTGTAGCACTTTCTTGTGTTAATCAATTAAGCAATAGATACATGTTTTTATTTTGATTGCATCTTGAGCTGTTCATGTTTTTCTTACTTACTGGAACATATATTTTTATAAACCTGGTCTTACCGAATTCTGTTCAAAGTGTTTTCTTACAGTTTTTGGTGTCCTTGTTCTGGAGAGGCTTCTCTAGCGTACTTTGCTCCTTCCTTTCAGTTCTTTCCCCTCTGTTTTCATCCCCTCTGCTCTGGGAATAAAGTTGTCTTCTATTTTTATGCTCAGATGCTGGGGAGATGCAACCTCGTGGGATTTCTTCACAGCTTTCCCTGTTCGCTCATTCGCTCCAGCGTCTCGCCTTTTGTGCTTTTCTTCAGCTTTTTAAGCACCCATAGCTGAGGGATAACCTATATTCTTTTACATGTTCCCAATAAACCAACTAATACACATAAATTCTTTCAACTCGAGATAAATGAACGATGATTAAATAATGATAATTGTTCTCTTTGCGTTGCTCGCCTGCATCGGTATGCAGGGTGCAGATAGATTTGTGCAAAGCCTGAAATATCTTATTACATAAGCGCGCAGGAGGTTGTTGGGGATTTTTCTCAGTTTCCAAAGAGTTGTTGATGCACAAAAATATCTAAAACTTTAGCTGTTTCTCTCCTATGAATAAAATAAAGATTCTGTGGACCTAAATCCTTTTTTGTAATGTGACTCTCAAGAACCTTTGTCTTCTAAGTAGGCTATGCAGACATGTCTGCCTGCTGACACATAGTTTCATCAAATTCTCTCGAATCACAAGTGACAATTTAACTGGTTGAACATTCTTTTAATTTGCAGTTGAGGTTTAAAAATGTAGATATAAAGGCTTTTATAACCCTCATAGCCTTATAGAGGTATGCATCCCTGACATCAAGACAGACAAACGGTCAGCACATAAATCAACTCTTTCTTTTCTGTATGTTCTGCTTTTGTGGGTAAAAGTTCAGCTTTTGAGGCTTGTTTCTAAACCATGGAGAAATAAAGATGTAAATTAATTAAAAGCCTAGAAATTACTAAAATGATGCATATCACCTGCTGCCTGTCAGAATTTAAAACTAAAATCATTTTATATGTTGCGAAAAGACAGTTTTAGCCAATTTGTTAAAACTTTAAAACTAATATTATGCTAATTATAACATGTAACTTTGCATAGTCTGTTTGTGCTTGGAATATGTGTTGGGGATCACTCTCAGCTATTACCACATCAGGTTTTAGTTCAGTGTCTGTAAAATTCACAGAAGTGTATCGAGGTGGCTAAATCTGCGGTGGCTATGTCAAATGGGGTTGACTCCAAAAGTTAATCAGTTGTAGATGTCATATTATTTATTCGTTTCATAAAGGTTTGTTTAAATCTATTCATTGTTTCTTGATATATTTTGCTATCAGTTAGACAGAGGTCTTTAAAAAAAGCACTCTATTGAATGAAGTTGAACTTTCTGAAAGTTTAAATAAAATCTTGAGCGTACGAGTCAAACATTTTGACATAAGTACATTGTTTTGTTACTTGGACTGTTGTTCATTAAATAAATCTTTAATATTAGAAAGTAATTAGTGAGTTGATGCTTACAACTGTTTAAGTGTTCAATCCAATTCAAGATGGCCACCACAGCAAAACAATTCCAGAAAGCACAGAAATGGCTTTAACCCTGTCAGTTTTCCGGATATGGACCTAAAATTTGGTGTGGTGGTGTCTGACGCTCATTCCCAAAGACTACTCTGAGCACTAAAGGATTGTCCAAGACATTTCGGCATTAACTATTAGAATCAACTTTGCCTGTTTGTTAGCAAAATTTTCCATGAACCGCTACATTTCTGACATGCTATACATTGCATAAATCTACTTCAATCTTTAGCATTTACTCTTGTAGTTGAGTCTGTTTGCAGTTTGTAACACTGGACCAATTTTTATGAAAATAAAAGTATGAGGATGCACATTTACAACTGATTAATGGTTGAACTCAATACAATTTAACATGGTTTCTACAGTAGGTTTTTAATATTGTGATATTATACAAAGATATAATTTCAAGGTTTGACTAAACGCCATTATTTCTCAACATGAGATCATTTTTACACAAAAGGCAGCAAGGCAGGTGTATGTATTTTTTCCCCAAGAATCAGTCTTTATGTTTGGCTCCCAGCAAGTTCTTTTTACATATCTAACAAATTGTAAATTATGGATCTGGTCAGCTGGTCTCTCGACGCAACTAATAAATTGTTCCCGACAAGAAGACAGAGTGAAGGAGAGCCCTCTTGCCCTGACGGGACACTTGCAGCTGGATACACAATGGATTCTTGGGGGCAGTGGAAGATCGTGTGCCTGTCCATATTGTCCGTTAAGGATGTAGAAGATACATACATAATTGGATTAATGATAGCAGGATTTCTGCTTTTTGGGTTGGTGGTTACCTTGCATATCGACAAATACTGAAAACATCGGCAGCCTTTTCTGGCCATTGTAAGTTTGCCCGGCTTGAAGTCGCCATTGAGACGTACCGGTAGAATTATAAGGCAGAGAGAAAATCAAGCAGAGTCAGCATGACACAAAACAACTGTTGTTATCTGAATCTGGCTCCCCTGTGTCAGCCTTGAATTGGCCAACTCTCTCAAACTCTCCTGGATGTTATGTGAACAAGAAGCTTTGCTCCCCCCCGTCCCCTACCTGCTCCCTTCCCGAGGACATCCGTGGACCTGTATCAGAGCTGAGCCGGCTGATAGACACTGCACTATCTCTTTTCAGGACTATGGGGACTATCAGGCAGTGTCCACGGACAAACTCATCACCTTCGTCGGCCTTCCTCGTCTATTCATGTATTATGATGTCATCAGTATGTTGCTGTTTCTGTGCTGAGGTTGTTTTTTTTTAAACTTTCACGCTGTGTCCCATCTAGGACACAGCGTGACATATAATTTTGTTATACTCCACTTCCCCCATGTTTCTCTTTTCCTATCTAACGAAAATGGCAGCGCCCACCATGAGGCCGCGGCCTCAGACACTCCGTCTTCCCCATGTCGGTCGTTTATGTTTTACTCTGACGGGCTGTACTTTAATATAATTTCGTTGTGCTTCGGTGCAGTGACAATAAAGCTGATTCTGATTCTCGTTTTCCCTCCTCTTTATTTCTAATTTGAGCTGTTGAACTGTGAAGTATTCCATCTGCGTCGAGGAAATCTTGGCTTCTTGACAAGATGTGAGCACTGGATCGACACGCCGAAGCGTCTGACTCGTGTAGCGATACATCCTCGTCCAATTTGTAGCCTTCTGCACGTTGAAGGTTATCTGCTTTCCAACGTAACAAGAGAAATTATGACACGGCTGCTTCTCGATTTCTGCTCCCGATCTCTCCAACAGTGGCAGAGGGCTCGAGTCTGTTAGTTTGCTGAACCATATTCTGTTCAAGCAGCACCTTTATGAATAATTGATGGTAAATATTTGAATCTCTGGAAGGTGATTCTGCGACGGCCATGGCAGCATTTTGTAAACTGTTCACTCAGACTCAGAGATGATGTCAAACATGTTTCACAGTTTGCTGTAGGTCTGGTGGGTTATGTTTACAAAAATGCCTCTCAGAAGTAGCCACACATTACGCTGAAGTTGGTAGAAAAAGCCCGTTTTTGTCGTTCTTTTACCCCGCTGTGATATCTGAGGTATTTCTCTCTCAAACTGCCACCATTACTCAGAGCTGCGTGATGTGGGATTGTCTTCTGAAAGCCGAAGGGTGAAGACATCTGTGGCACTTCTTGTAAACATCGTTCCAGATGCTTGTTGGGCTGCTTTGACTTTTTTAAATCTTGAAATGTTTGGATCAATTCTTGACCCTTTTGGGAACTGCTGTCTCGTCTGCAGGTCTCTTGTTTACTCACTTAACTTTGCTTTTTATTGCCCTCTGCCAAAGGACAGAGGCAAGAATGTTGTTGCTCATGTCTGTGTGCATATTTGTCTACTGTTAGCAAATGATCTCATGAACCACTGACTTGTTTTATTTTTTACAACTGGTTAACTTTTAGAGTTACTTCCATTCAAGATGGCCACCAAAGCTAAGCAAACCAGTAACCAGTGATAACTCAGCTAATTTTACAGATACTGAGCTAAAATTGGATGTGGTAGTGGTTCAGCATCATTCACAGCAGAGCAGGTGAGATCTACACATTGTATAAACTTTGGCTGTCAGTCCTGTCTGTCTGTTAGCAAAATATCTCATGAACCATTAAACAGATTTTAATTTAACTTTTTTTTAACAATCACTGGAAGTTAATCTACAGCTGAATAATTTTTGGGGTCATGCCAATTTAAAATGGCCACCACAACTCATTGTCAACCAACTCAAACGTCTGTAGTTTGGCAAATTTTAGAGATTCTGAAATAAGATTTGATGATCTATTAGCTAAGATTGATTCATAACACATGCTCCGAGTGCTAACACATCTTCTTAGATCTGATTGTGGATGAGGTTATTTACAAAGTTTGACGTCAATGATTATAACTTCTCATCTTATCTTAGTTGAAGACTCTGTTATGAAAGGTGGTGGGTGATGTGCATTTCTTTATTGAACGTGCCTTTAATTAAGCAGGCGATTGTGGAAATCTCTGGTCTACAGCAAATTTTGAAACTGTTCTTGAGTTTTTATGCTTTATTTATTTAATTATCTCGTCATTTTGGAACAAACTGTTGGCTGTTTGTTAAGAATCTTGTAACATTGACATTTATCCTCCTGTTCATCACGTGGAAGGACACTTGGACTGTTGATGTTCAGCACAGCCTACCCCAACAGGTTGCTCATGCCTTCTGAATGTCTCTTGTCTTTGGGGACACTTCAGGTCCTGCTTTTTTGGGGACAGTGAAGAAAGACTGGGCCACTTACAGCAGCATCGCCCTCTCCTGGTCAGAAGTGGAACCACCTCCTTCAGAGATTCTGGACTATGAAGTGAAATACTACGAGAAGGTAAATCATTCAGTTAAGAAAAAATAAAAAATAAAATTGGAAGAAACACATGTGCAATATGTCAATCACTGTTCACAGATTAATTGGACACATAAAGTTAAATAAAAAATAATAATAAGACCAAAAACATGCATGTTAGGCTGCCTTCAGGTCAAGGGCTCCATATGATCTCAATGAGATGTGCCTGGTTAAATAAAGGTTAATAAATAATAATAAATAACATAATTGATTTTGTCACCATCTGTTCTGAAATATAATAGAATAAAAAAGGTTGAATCATGTCATCTGGACTTCGTTTTTTGGTTAAAAAGAAACGTTTCGCCCCTCATCCAAGAGGCTTCGTCAGTCTGAGGCCTAGCCATCTGGTATTACCCAGAAGCCACCCTGACTCTTGTGTTTCAAGCCTGCCTCAGATACCCCTGAAGTCTGGCCTTTTCACTAATGGTTTCAAAAACACGATGAGGGGCGAAACGTTTCTTTTTAACCAAAAAACGAAGTCCAGATGACATGATTCAACCTTTTTTGTTGTTATATACCTGGATGACTGAGAAAACAAACTTTGTGATAATAGAATAAAGTTTCTGTGTTTGGACGTTGTGTTCAAATTTGGACACAAACATCCTGTTTATAACCGCTGCCTGTCTGTTTCTGTTCCCACAGGAGCAAGAGCAGCTGAGCTACTCATCAACACGGACCAGAACCGCCAGCGTGCTGGTAACGGGCCTCAGACCCTCAACTGTTTATGTCTTCCACGTGCGCGCTCGCACTGCAGCGGGCTTCACAGCTTACAGCCACAACTTTGAGTGTGCGACAGCAGCCGAGGGTACGATGCCGGCGTTTTTTTTTTTGTTATTATTATATGAACTGGTTTTAGGGAGGAATTGCACATAATTAATGTTTGCAAGGAGAGCTGAATATTTTACTAACGGTTGGGAAATATTTAGGTTTAGAATATGTTTTTGTTATGAAATTTCAAGACTTCCAAAACAACAGGAATTAATTATTTGCTAATCAATAATACAAATTCTTAAATACTTTTTATAATTGTTCTTATAAAGCGAATCAGTAAAACTCAACGTTTCATCAGTTGCTATTATTTTTAATAATTTCCACTCTTCGTCCCTTTTTCCCAGATCCAGATGTTGCAGATCAGGGTCAGGTTCTGGTGGTTGTCACAGCATCTGTAGGTGGCTTCTCCCTCCTCGTCATCCTCACCCTCTTCCTCCTCATCACTGGACGGTGAGACTTTTATTCTTTTCTCTTTCACCGGATTGTCAGCACTAAACTGCACACGCTGATGCACACAAACAAGTTTTTGCTTCTCATAATCTGCAGAGTAATGCTGCAACCTAAAATCTGTTAATGGACTCTTTTTTTGTAGACATTCTTATTTTCCAAATGGCTGAACCAATTTTCTGCCTAATTACCCAGCATGTAATGCATGTACCAGCCGTTTGCTCCGTTCCATTAACCTCCAAAAGTGTGCCCGGTCTGTTGTCTTCACCTCACCCCCGGTTAACAGGGTTTTATCGTTTAGGCACATCTTTAAAGAGCTGTGAAAAATGAGCAGAAAATCTGGATCATTTATCTGAATTTAACTGACACAAGCTGCAGGATTCATCTTTGAGATCAGAATTTAAAATGTTCTCTGAAAAGGTGGGATCATGATATTTCACTTTAGCTTAAAATAAATCATCACAACTAATGAAAATACATGATTCATTTATTGTTCTTTGTACATTCAATTCAAAAATACTTTATTAATCACAAAGGGAAATTAGGTGTTGTTGTAGCTCATCGTCCTGGTTTCATTATAGAGTTGTTAGACACCGATAGCTTTGGGCAGGAAGGATCTCCTGCAGCAAATCTGAAGAATCTGGCCACAGATACCGATCCGTCCACCCGGATCCAGCTTGCTGTCAGATCAGGCGAGCCTCTCGGTCCTCCTGGGCAACAGGATTGCCCGAATGCCGGGCAGAATTCCTCCCTGAGCGATGGTCACTCCTCCCAGCAGTCTGCAGAGCTCCTCGTCGCCACGGACACACAGCTGAAGGTGCTGGGGGATGATTCCAGTCCTCCCATTGTCACAAGCTGAGTTTCCCACCAGCTCCAGTATCGGTCAGGTACTCGAGCACTGCCACCAGGTTGACGGGAATTCGTCCGCGGCGCCTCCTTTTCAACTCATTTGAGATTTGGGGCTGCTAAGATATTATTGAGCTTTTGGGATGTTAATCAGCTGCTTCTGATTGTAAAAAAAAAAAAAAAAAAAACTTGTTGCCATGGTTACGCATCATAACGAATGCCCCAAAGTAATAATGTTTCAGTAGAAGTCCTTCCAGCTGCACAGCATCCAGTACCAGAGTAAATAATCTTGCGAAAAAATGTATTTACATCTATAAAAAAGAGGAATTAAAGTTTTCAAAAGCAATAACTCATAATGAATGAGCTACTCCAACATGCAGCCACCCCGAGCGGCGCAATACACATGTATCACATGTGGGTGAACTTCACTTCCTGGTTGAGCTGAGACTGTTGAGACTTTTAAATCTTCGCTCAAGACTCATCTGTTTTCCATACGTTTGATCCAAACAAAGTTTGAGAACAAGTTAGAGCTCAGTTTTTTTTTGTGTTGTATTTCATTGTGAATCCTGTGTGACACAAAATTAATTTTCTTTTTCTTTTTTCTTGTTTTCATTTTACTTTGACTAAATTATAAAGCACTTTTGTCAACTTTAGTTGTTTTTATGTGCTATATAAATACACTGACATTGAATAACCAGAGGAGGTTTTGTGTGATTCAGAAAATGATTCTTATACTTTCTCTAATGTGTTCACCTGTGCAGGTGTCAAGGATACATTAAAGCCAGGATGAAGTCAGAGGAGAAGAGGACTCGCTTCCACAGCGGTCACGGTACTGAAAGGAAAGCTTTTATCTTGTGTTTGAATTTTCTTTTATCCTAAGTTTATTTCAGGAATTAACAAAAGCTGACAAAGATGCAGAATGTGACAAGTGTAGTATGACATATCCTGAGATATATTCATACATTAAACGGGTTCACTCATCTTTCTGGACTGTGTGATGTTCGTGCGTTGAATTTAACAGAAATGTGGACGTGAGACGTTAATTATCTTTGACTCACCAAGCGAGTGGGTCATTTATTAACAGAATCAAGTTTAACACATCACACATTTACATTAATTTGGCAGAATATGAAAACAACAACATAATCAGCTTTACAGGAAGTGAGAACAATACGGCGATTGTTTTCACTTTTCAGCAGAACAGCAGACATCAATTCACACGGCGGTGATTGATTTTCTAGCAGAAGGAGAGTTTAAAGATGGAAAATTAAGATTTATCTTACAGAGAGATGTGTGAGGGAATTTATCTGTTTTAACCAGAACGTGCACGCTCCTTCGGAACTCAGCTTGTCCCAAACAGTACACTTTCGGTGAAGGTCGACTTTTACCTTTTCTGAAGATAGATCAGTTCCGGCGTGGAGTCTTACTTCCAATCACTGTTCAGCGTCTCAGTGAGACAGCCAAATACCTAGAGAGCCGTGTGAGGTTATCCAAACAGAAGTTATAATTCCCAAAATCGTCTCTGGTTCAGCTTGTTTGGTTTAGCAGTATCCATGAATGCCTGCGGTTGCATTCACGGACTCCCAAACTCCCTGCACTCTGGATTCCACAACCCTTGAACTCTACTCTTGAACTGGGAAGTTGCCACATTTAAACAGGCTATACTTCCGGTTCATTTGAGAGCTTTTTGATTGGTGGATGGACCAGAACAGAGGTGTGGTTTGTGATGTAAGGTGTTATGGAAAGTCAAGGATAGAGATTAAGATTGTTTAAGAACAGACAGAAAGATTGTTGGAGAAAACCAGTCTTAGTGGCGTCTCTACTCAGTATCTTGCTGTAAAAGTTAAACATGACATTTCTTTTCAGTAAACTTTTTAGTTGACCGAAACCTGAACTCTAACACACTTACAAATTTGCTCACTTTCAAAGCAGACGATCAAGAAATTGAATCATTACTCTGTAATGTACTCTAACTTGATTTCACTTTGAATTGAGGAATAAAAATCATTACTACTGTTTAAGTAAATAAAAATGAGTAGTTCACTTCAACATGTAAACATTGTTTGAACTAACACAATTTGATTATCAAACATTTGTAAAATAATAATGATCATAGAGAATTGTCTTTTTCCACTTGATTAATTCAAGAAAGAAAGTCTCAGGATGGGTCTAAACTGTATTTCTGGATTCAAATCAATGAAATGACAGTTTCTGTCCATCTGGTCAGTTTTGACATAGGCCTAGTCCACTACACAAGTGCAATCGCTCCTATATTTTAAACTGGTGGATCCCAGTCCTGTTCCTTGAAGAACACTGTTCTGTATGTTTTAGTTGTTTCTCTTCTTTGACACCCTTGGTTTTACTGAGTGATTAATAAACTTTGGAGGAACTCGAAGAAGGGCTGCAGAGCCAGGAAACAACTCAAGGACCAGGACTGAAAACCACCGATTTAGACATAAAAAGTTGCAACTTATATCTATGAATTCAATTCAATTTAATTTGTTTCTAAAACGCACAGTCACAACAGAAGTTGTCTCAGGACAATGTACAAAAACATTCACATACATTAAAAAAAACATTTGTCAAAGTGATCTATCTAAGGAAGCAGCAGATTGTGCTGAATCCTCACTTCATCTAGTCTCACATCCTGAGCAAGCACAGAGGAGACAGTGGAAAGGAAAAACAAGAGGGAGCTCAATTAAATCTTTGTCAAAGGGTCAATCTCGGTCAGTTTTAGTCAAAATGTAAATTAAATCTCCCTGTAACATATGATATCATATATACATATATATATACAAACAAACTATCTTTTCCCAATTACATTTAAAGTAGATTATTATTAGTATTATTTAAAGTTTAAAACATGTTCCACTAACAGTGATATGCAGGGATACTGAAATAAAATAAAAAATCTTATCTATTTATTTGTCTTATTGTTGTTTGTTGTATTGATTTACAAGTTAATTCATTGAAAGCATACTCTCTTGGACCACTGTGTTGTTACACATCAGCTTCTGTTCTGAATCTGTCAGCCTTTAAAAAGACAGAAAAGAAAAGGAAAAGACATTTAACTGTACATTTAATACTGAACTTTGACCAAACACGTCCAGAATTACAGTGTTCACCAAATTACAGGGCCACATTTACAGAAGGTGGTGAGTTATTGATCCTCTCATCGGGAAGACGTGCCCTTCTCAGGGAACAACACGCTGCTCTGTGTCCGACAGCAACAATTGGTATCTTTTAGCTCCAATCGGAGACCTGCAGGGCTCGAGTGGGGCTCCTGAGAGAGCCGTTCCACCCTGTCCGGGTGTGAGGATTTGTGATTGATTCAAGACAAACAAGACTGTTAAGACAAAAATATCACAACACGGTGAATCACGTCTCCACAGCCCTGCTGGGGTGTCGTTAAAGAAAACGTGCTTTTGTTTTCCAATTGTCGGATTTATAAGCTATTATAACCAATAAAACAAAATATTTGAATTTACTTATTTGAGTTACTTTAAAAAAAGAAAAGAAAAGAAGAGCAGAATGAGTTTTGACATTTAAAAAAAAATCATGTACTGGACAAAATAATGAGCAGAGAATACCTGCAGGCTCAACAAACCGTTAGAAACAAAGACTTTTTCTTCTCTTTTCTCTTCGTCTTTTTCTCCTCCTCCTCGTTCTTCTCCTTCGTCTTCAGGCCTGAGCTTAGAAACTCTGGAGATTGAGAGGAATGTGGTCTCCAAACTCAAATCTTTTTCCAACAAAGTTTTCAACCTTCCACACTGTGAGCTGACACAGCTGTAAAGTACACTTAGTCCCAAGCTCATCTGTTGGAGGTGTACCACGGGCTGCTTCCAGTTATTATTTGGACCCCGTCATCATGCAGCAGCATCCTCAGCCTCAGACAAACTGAGGTTATAGAGTTCCTGGAGCTTTTTTTTTACAGCTTTGGGGCTCGTTCTCACATCTTTCTTTATCCTTTTTGAGAGTTTCCATCTTTTGACAGACTGAAAACTGAAAATATAATAACAAAATAAAACAAATTATCTAACTTCTTTCTAAAATGTTAAGCCAGTGATCAAGTGTTTTTGTATTTGATAACATTTATAAATGTATTAATCATCCTGAAACTCGTTCTAAACTTTATACAATGCTTATGTCAGGAAATAACTCTGAAATCTGAATGAGTCACACCAAAACATATAGAGGAGGGATATGATTAAAGAAGATTAAAATATATTTGAACAAACCAACAAAGTCCATGTGCAATAATTCAGGTATACAATCCAACAATATTCAGTCAGGTCATCTGGAATACTGAGCATGGACTTCGTTGGTTTTGAACCAGTTTTACATGACTGTCGACAAGGGAGAGGGCCGGCACCGGAGGAGGGGGAGTGTGTTCCACTTTGGAGTAAGCTGTTGGGGGAAGAATCAGTTTTGTTGTGTGTTTCCTTGACTGATGAAGCCTTCTGGATGGAAGGTGAAATGTTTCAGCACAAAAAAATAAATTTTCCAGATGACCTGACTGAAAATTGTTGGATATTTGGACAAACTAATGTGCAATATCTCCTCGTTGTTCTCCAACAGAGGAAAGTGTTTGCTTGAGTAGTTTACAAAACAATTTATGATAATAAGTTTCAAAGAAATTTTAACAGCTTTGAAGCTTCCTTGCCAAGTTGCAGTTTTCTTGAACAGTGTCTCCATCCCCTGGAGATTTGATCGAACAACAACTATGGTTCCTGTGAAGTTTTAGGATTTAACGTGACATCAAAATAATCTAAAATACCTTCCTAACCTTTAATTCTATAGCCCATATGAAAGTGTAACACTGCATAAAACTGCATGCAATACCCAGATACAAGGCCCGTTGGCAGGTAATGCTCCAGCACCTGCTGAATGTCCTCTGCAGCCGTTGATGCTCCTGTTGCTCATCAAGCCGATGATCCTCAGGCGGTCAGATGTGGCTGCAGGGAGCTGATGTAGTTGACCTGGGGTTTCAGCAGCTTGGTGGTCAGTGCCGTGGTCTTGTAATTCAGAGATTGCAGGTTCGAGCGCAGGTTGCATCAGGAAGGGCAAATTGCCAAATCTTTCATGTGAGTTTGTTTGCTGGGGCAACTCCTGAAGGAGGGAGCAGCCGAAATAAACTTGTTTACTTTTACTGATGCATTTTAAACTACATGGAGATTTTCTAAACCCTTGTTGGGCTACAAACTTCGAGCCAAACATCTGACAGTTTGCTGCTGTGTGTCTCTTTCATTTCAGTCCCATTCTCGGGGATAAAGACCTATGTGGATCCAGACACGTATGAAGATCCCACGCTGGCTGTGGAAGAATTTGCCAAAGAAATCGACCCATCATACATCTGCATTGACAGAGTGATCGGTGCAGGTAGGATCACTGTTTCTTCTGATAGTGGAAGGCTGTTAAGTGTACATCATAATCTAAATGTAAGTTATATTTCTATAAAATGACATTAAATCAGTTGGTATAACTGCCTTACTGATAACTATGGGGCTCTTTTAATAAAGACTTTTTATGTTGAGAACATTGTTAAAGAAAAACAAGGTTTTGACTTTAGATTTTGATTGCCTTCATTAGAAGTTGTGGTAATTTCAAAGGAATCTACAGATTTTTAGCTAAGAGAAGGAAAACTGCTAACCCTAATCAAGAGGATTTATTAATAGCAGATTTTTTTTTCTTTCTTTAAAATCCTTAATGCTATGGGGTAGGTACAGGATGTTTGAAGGTTTTCTGTCACAACATCTTCATCTAGTGGAGGGAACATGCAGTTACATGTTTTATTCTTCTCTTTTTTTTAAGGATATTTCTACTTTACCATGAACAAAAAGATGTATGCATTTATGACAGAGGGACAATCATGTTTACAGTTGTAGATATTTATTATTTAGTTTTGTTGTGCTTTTGCAGGTGAATTTGGAGAAGTCTGCAGCGGCCGCTTACGGATACCTGGAAGGAAAGACATTGCTGTGGCTATAAAAACTCTTAAAGGTGGCTACATTGAGCAGCAGAGGCGAGAATTTTTGCGTGAGGCCTCGATCATCGGACAGTTCAACAACTCAAACATCATCAGGCTGGAGGGAGTAGTCACCAAGAGTAAGCTCTTCATGCGTTTCTATGAGGGAAGGACTGGGTGTCTAAGTGTTTTACAACAGTTTATATCAGTTTGATTTATTCCTGTAGCTCTATTTGGCAACTATAGTTTAACAAAACTCACCAATATAGAAGACACAAAATGTTACAAAAGCAGAATTTTCATTTTTCTCAAAGCTTGACCAAAATAGCGATAACTTTTTCAGTACTTCACATGAAATGATTTATGTCTACACATTAAAAAGAGCTGGGTAAAATGTTTTCCTTCAAGGAATTGCATACTTTTTGAATATGCTTTCTGTTGTGTATGTTAAAATCATGTTGTGTATTGGTTAACTTTGATTTTTTTCCATCTATTATGTTTGTGTTTTGCACCTCAAGATCACTATAGTTATATTTATGTCACTTAAATCCAGTATTTTGTCCACTTCTTCAGGTCGACCAGTGATGATAGTAGTGGAGTACATGGAAAATGGTGCGCTCGACTCATTCCTCCGGGTAAGGATAAAGGTGCAAACATGTACACAACTTTCATGACAACCTTGACTTCTTCACGTCAAACCAGCCGTCTCTTCTTCTGCTGACATCTCCAGGCACGTGATGGTCAGTTCACGGTGCTCCAGCTGGTCGGCATGCTGCGCGGCATCGTAGTGGGCATGACTTACCTTTCAGATATGGGTTACGTTCACCGAGACCTGGCTGCTCGGAACATTTTACTGGATGAGAACTTGATCTGTAAGGTGTCTGATTTTGGCATGTCCCGAGTTCTGGAGGATGACTCTGATGCATCTTACACAACCACAGTGAGTATTGATGTACACATGAAACAGAGCTTTGTCCTCAAACAAACATTAACTTTATTTTGTGTCACTTTATTGTTCATACTATTTCAATCTTTCCATTCAGTCTTCCCCTGTCTATGCTGGTATACCCAAAGGTTCTGTCCTTGGACACTCCTCTTTATCATCTTCCTTTATCCCCTAGTCATTTTGTTCATAAATTTGGTATTAATTTTCATCGCTATGCAGAAGACACCCAACTCTACTTGTCCGCCAATCCTAATTCTACCCTTCAACCTTCCATCCTCATTGCTTGTCTAAGAGAGCTCACTCAGTGGTTTGTTAATCATTTTCTCAAACTAAACAGTGATAAAACAGAACTCACCCTTGTCAGAAAGTACCAAAAGCACTCTTTCAAAATCTGAGCATTTTCTCCTCCCTCTTAACAACTCATTGTTTTCCCACTCCCATCTGGTCAAGAGTCTTATTATTATTACTTTTTTGTGGTAGGGAGGAAAGATACCGATACGCTGGACGGCACCAGAGGCTATTGCTTATGGAAAGTTTTCCTCAGCTAGTGATGTCTGGAGCTATGGCATCGTCATGTGGGAGGTGATGTCATATGGTGAAAGGCCCTACTGGGAAATGTCCAATCAGGATGTAAGTTTTGCTTCTATTAAAATTAAAACATGATTAAAGCAGCTTTCCTTGAAGGAATGTATATCCCCCACCACCCTGCATGTTAATGTCTTATACAAAGGTTTACACTGGGTATGGAATGACGGTGACTGAATCAGAACCATAGAACCATCACGTTGTGGCAACCATCGTGAACTGGGTAGACTTTAAAAGTTAATCAGTCATAAATTTATGTCTAATAATTAAGTTCTAAGAGTTGCATTAAAATCCATCTTGCTAACAGACAAAAACAGCCACAAGCATGACTGTCCACCATTATGGCGGCATAGATAGATATAAATTATGTCACGTTTTGTCTGTTCAACAAAAAAATTGACTTGTATAAAAACTCTTACTGATTGCTGTGTTTTACTTTGAACACTTTTTCTCTGATGTTCTTCTCAGGTCATTTTATCAATTGAAGAAGGCTACCGGCTACCTTCACCTGTCGGCTGCCCGGTGCTCCTGCACCAGCTGATGCTGCATTGCTGGCAGAAGGAGGGGGGCCAACGGCCACACTTTAATGACATTCTCTCCTCTCTCGACAAACTCATAATAAATCCCAGCAGTATACTAACTCTTTTCAATGATGCTATGAGGTATGCCACTATATAAAAATAATACAATGACTTTGAGTTGATTCAGAGTAATCAGAAAAAGTTGAAATACTCCTTTATTTGCATCAGTAAATGCTTATTGAAATTATGACAATTAATACTAGAGAAACTGCATTTTTCCAAAGTGCAATGTGAACATTGAAGCTTGAACGACTGCTGAAATGTGTTAAAGAAACGGAACCAGAGTTGTTAAAGCTAAAAGAAGCAGAAAAGTAGCTAAAGGAAACAACATTTTAGCTGACAACCAAAAGTAGTCGCATGCTAAAAGCAGTAAGCCTAAAAGCCAAACTCGTCAAAAGGCTAGCAAACATATCTAAGGGCTAGCTAAAAGTTAAATGTTGCAAAAAGCTAGCAAAAGGCTAAATGTATCAGCTAGAAGCTAAAAGTAGCGGTACAGTACCTAAAAAGCAAAAGTAGGAGAAGAATACAAAACAGAGCACATATGCAACAATAACATTTTTAAAGAAGTTAAGGGATCTCAGCGTATTTCTACAGAGAAAAAAAAATTGTAGAATGCAACGCTGTACAATTGTACGGCACTTAAAAAAAGGAAAATTATAAAGATTTTATTTATTCTAATAATTTTTATTATACACTTATCAGATAAACTTTAGTTTAGGTATACCACCATGCATTTCTACCTGAGTTAACATTCTGTTTGTCTTCTCAGTTTTACCGACTCCCCAGAGGACATGCCAGACTACCCCCTGTTCATCTCCATCGGGGACTGGCTCGACTCCATCAAAATGTGCCAGTACAAGAGCAACTTCTTGGCAGCAGGATACACTACGCTGGATTCTATTTCCACCATGAGTATAGAGTGAGTACAGCCAAATTGTTGAGTCTAAAAAAGGAGCCCATTTGATTCGAGCAATATGTTTTAGAAAACGTGGAGCAGAGGCTCAGCGTTCAGTTGCAATTTATCTTGTTTAAAATCGCCCTTGCTAATAACGTTGCTGTGAAATATTTTAAGATTATTAAAATGGCTCTGTTTTGTAAAAAAGGCAAAGGAGGGCGATAATGTATTTGCCCTTGTCTGAGTCTGTGTCTCTGTGTGTTAGCAAAATATCCCATAAACCACTGGATGGATTTTATGGAAAATTTCAGCAAAAAATTAAAGAATGTGCATCTGCAAGAGGTTACCTTTTGGAGACAATCTAATTTATGTTGACTGTCACAAAAAATGACCTTAATTAAAGTTAATTAATTAATTTAATTAATTAAAGTGCTCCTAATTTGTCAGTTTTCTAGATAATTTGTTGAAATTTAGATGTTGAGCCATTCCCTACACAAACTCTGAGGGTTACTCAGATATTTGCTTAAAGCTTTAGCATTTACTGTTTGAGTAGACTCTGTCTGTTTTTAAAATATATCTTGAAACATTGGATGTTTATTAAAGTTTTCAAAAAGTTATTATTGGATGTCTGTCTATGATTATTTTCCAGAGCCGATCTAATTCATGGTGCTGCAGCTAATCAACAGTAGTCAACACAAAAATAGCTAAAACTTAGTCAGTTTTACTGATCATAAGCTAAAGTTTGGTGTGGCTGTATTTAGACATTTTCCTAAACTGATGTTGATCTGAAATGCATTCTGAATTGCAATCCATCAAAGAAAGACAAGGATGTAATTTAAAATATTTTGATTGCATTCATATTAAAAATGTCATTAACTTTGTTGGCTTTAGTGGCTAATGGATCACCTTGAACTATTTTAAATTTAAACTTTTATTGTAAAAGTTAACAAACGTTCTATATTACACAATTTATTTGGCACAGTATTTTGTTGTTGCTTTCTGTTTTCTGTTTTTACAATTAGATTTTTACCAGGTGAAACTGACATTTATTATGTCATTCCAACTTGATAATTTTTCCCTTGAGTACGTTTGTTTGATGCTTTTTTCCCCCAACTGAATAAATCTTGGTCTCTTTTCCAGCGACATCAAACGCATCGGTGTGTGTTTGATTGGCCACCAGAGGCGGATCATAAGCAGCATTCAGTCTCTTCGACTGCAGCTCCATCACATCCAGCAGAGCGGCTTTCAAGTTTGAGCCCGATTCACACAAAGTCAGACTGTCTAACAAGGTCGAGTCAGGTCCTCTGGACGGGTTCTTTGTTTAAACGTTTCGTCTTTTATCGAAAAGACTTCTTCAGTCTGAGGAGCTGAGGATCAATCAGTTTGCTTGTAACAGCCAAAACTAGTTGTTTGCATGCAAAAGGAGGACCATCAGCCTAACAATCAATCATTGGTTCCCTGATGGCCGCTTGCTAGTCACAGAGGGCTGAGTGATACTCGCAATAATAGCATTGTAAGACATTTGGGCACAAAGGTGTGTGGGTTCATTTCACAAAGATGGCCTCCTTTACTCCTCTCAAACCAGCGTTTGTCTCTATCAGGGATGTGAACATCTTCATCCCTGATAGAGTGACCTCTGGCCTGCAGATGAGTGTAGACTGCAGAGTCCTGGCCTGATGATGTTGCTCTTCTGTGCTGGTCCATCCTTTTGGCCAGTGGTGGTTTAGTTTCCCTGATGTAGAACTGATCACAGCCCTCCTGACACTGAACAGTATATACAATATTACTTTGCTTGTGCTGGGGGACTGGATCTTTGGGATGGACCAGTCTTTGCCGTAATGTATATTGGGATTTGAAAGCCACTGAGACGTCATGTTTAGAAAATAAATGTCTCAGTTTCTCTGAAACTCCTGCAACATATGAATGACCACTGGTCTGGGTCTGGGGTCCTTCTTTTCACTCGATGGCTGGCTGGAGTCCTGTTTGGATTATTGCTTATCTGCTTTCAGGAAGGCCCAGTTAGAATGTCCACATGGCTCTGGGGCCTGTCTTGTGTGGGATTTCTCCTTCAGGTTCAGAAGACCTGACTCAACCTTGTTAGATTTAGGTACCTGGATTATCGAGCATGCATCAGGACAAAGTCCGACAGTGTTCACACACTGAGCAGGAGCTCCTCGGCATCATCATCATCCAACTAACTGCACAAACACCAGACTGTTGGGTGTTACCAGTATAACATGCTGCTCATGTCAGAGTGATCCTGTTACTGGACCTCATGCAGTCTAATCAACATGCACTTATCATCTCATGTATCATCCGATGGACAGCCTCCACAACAACCAACCTCTGTCAGCATCGGCCAAACGCCGTCTTTTATCATCTCAGCAGAAACTAGCATTCACTTGACTTTAGGAGTTCGTCTCTCTGCTGTCGATGAAGTTTTCACCAATACCTCTTCTCTTTCCAAATGACAATCCAATGGTTTCTACTGACTCTGACAGGTTTAGTCTGTTACCTCAAGACAAGGGAAGATGGTGAGGGAGTTATGTGGTGGTGCATGAGATATCATGCAGTTTTAATATTTCATGCTGATTAGTCAAACAATTTGCCAAATATCATGAATAAAAATGATCAATCGAATCATGTTTTTGATCTGAAGACCAGTGAATGTCAATTTTCTTTGTTTTTTTAGATACATGTATGTTGTCTTATAATAATACAGTATGTCCTGTACAAAAAGTCTTGTGGAAGTTGTATGTTTTATTCATTAAGTTTGTTCCTTAATAAACAACTATATTTTAATACTTAGTTTTATTCCTCCTACCATGAAGTGTTACCAGATGAGTTACGTGTGAAAGTTTATGGATAAAAGGTAAATGGCCTCAATGAATGCAGAATATGTGCCAAGTTTTTATAGAATTGACGATAAGTTTATTCATTTATTTAATGTATTTATTTATTTCCAAGTTTACAAATACAATTGCAAAAGATGCTAGCTGTTTTTGAACTGCTGTACATTTTGTACTTGTCTTTATGGCAATCCACTAAAGGAACGAGCCACGTTCTGACCAGCTACAGCTCTACGTGTTTGTTAAACATGTCAACTCTGCCTTTGAGCACAAATCAACTTTTAATTCATGACAATGTGGAAATCTTGGAATTTTGAAATAAACACTAATATTTCTGTGGCACGGTGGCACAGTTGGTAGAGCTGTTGCCTCTCACCAAGAAGGTCACCGGTTCAAATCCCGGCCTGGGTCCTTTCTGGGTGGAGTTTGCATGTTCTCTCTGTGCATGCGTGGGTTTTCTCCAGGTGCTCCAGTTTCCTCCCACAGACCAAAAACATGCATGTTAGACTGATTGGTAACTCTAAATTGTCCCTAGGTGAAAGTGAGAGAGTGAATGGTTGTCTCGTTTGTCTCTATGCGTCCCTGTGATAGACTGTACACCTGTCCAGGGTGTCCCCAGCCTCTCGCACAGTGACTGCTGGACATGAGTGCCAGTGACCCCGTGACCCAAAAACGAAGAAGCAGGTAAATATAATGGATGAATGGATGGATGGGCATTAAGATTTCCAGAAATAGGATTGAATTAAAAATCAACAGTGGTGTCCTCTAAAATATATTGTTCATGAGAGTATTATAGTGTATTAATATATTATGTATTACATTGGTGTAAAAGAGTGAATCACAAAAGTCTTACCCCTACCTGATTTCTACAAATAATTTTATTCAAATTTATGAATGTAAAGTGCAAATATTTTTTGTCATTACTTGAATCATAATTTTCATTATAATTTCAGAAAGCCCCAAAATTTAGACTTTAAATATTACAAAATGACTGGCTCTGTCAGCAAAGTGCAAGGAATTTAGGATGTCTTACCATGCGATTAAGAGAAAATTAGCACGCTGGTGAAGATTCTCAGCCATCCAACCTTTATTTAGACAGGTTAATCCCATTGAGCCTCGAGGACTCATTTATAAGAGAGACCTGATTTCAACAAAGAAAGATGACAACAATAGACAGTTATAAAAAAAAAAGCATACAGATTTTTTAATTTTTTTAACAAATAGGATGGCTAAAAAAAGAAAAATAACAAAAAAC